GCTGCTGGCTACGTGAAGCTCTTGATCCCGCTTTAGCTCCTAGGACCAGGAAGGACAAGGGGAAATATTCCTGTTGCTCTTTCGACCTAGGCAGCTTTCACACTGCAAAGTGCTTTGGTGCTGGTTGGGCTGCTGCTGTCCCGTGCACGAAGCATCCTCTGCTCCCAGCCCTGGGGCAGGCGCCAGCAGCCAACCCTGCTGCTGCGGTGCAGAGCTGACACACTGCAGAAAAACGGCAGCCTTCATTTATGCACTTTTATATCTTTGCCTGCGTTCCCGGGAGGTGATGCAAGCAGGAAAGGCAGCAGTGTTCACACATATCCTTAGAAGTGGCTGCGGCCACACTATTCTGCAAAACACCCAGGGTTAGGCGATTGCAGCCATATATGGCCTCCTCGGGGCTGGAGCGGTGCCCGGAGCGGGGCTGGCACCCCTCGGAGGAGGATGGCCGGCGGAATTTCCTACGAAAGGCCGGCTAAGAGAGCCCAAATCCTTGTGTATATATACGCCTGTCTAAATATTGGACAACAAATTCAAGGCTCTGCTACCCCGGAGCCCGGAGCCTCCCGCAGTCACTACGGGCCCGGGTGGCCCCGGGCCGGGCTCGAGCTGCCCCTCATGGACGGCAGGATCCAGATGGGGGACGAGCACCGCGCGAGGGCTGCGGGTCCCCATGGGATGGATTCCGGAGCCCGGGACCCGCTGCAGCTCTGCTGTCCCCGAGCTCGAAGGCACCAGCAGGGCCGTCCTCGCGTCGCGGCCGCGGAAGGGCCGTCGGAGCGGGGCGGCTCTGGGCAGTGCTGCTGTGATGGCGTTGGCCATGGGGCATACACAAATACTCCCTCCTGCGTTCCCTCACGGCCTTGGCATCTTTTATTGCGATATGGCCACCAAAAACACCAATTTTCCCTGTCCCCACTCCTCGCCTTGTCTCCTAGTTATTCACCAGTCACAGACATGTATGGCCAAGAGATCTTTTCTTTGGTTTAATAGTTGGGATCACATGCACCTGGAAGGTGCTTCTGCCTCCACCTCTTCTCTTGCCAAGACACATCCTGCAGAATATTCCTCGTATCTGGTGGCAGACGCTGTGCTGGGGCTGTCCGACAGCAGCCAAGCAGAGAGCACGTCCTCCTGCACAGAGCAAACCACGATGGTGGCCACGAGGCTGTCAGGAGCACGTTGGGAGGACCCGGTAAGAGCAGAGGAGATCCATAACCGCCCATGAGCAGGCGCGGGCCTTGTGCAGGGCTGGGGTGGCCTGCAGGGACACGGTGGTGGCCCACAGCTCCCAGCCTTTCCAATATTGCCATCTAGAGGACCCACCCAGGACAGGAGGAGCCCGCGGGCCGCGAGGAGCTAAGGAGGGAGATGCAGAAGCTGCTGCTGTTGTGGGGCACAGCAGGGCTCTCCCTGCACCACACGGAGACGGAGGCCGCGCGCGCGGTGTCCTCACCTTGGGCAGCAGCAAGGGGCCCTTCAGGCGACCGCTAAAAAACGGTCCTGCCTTTGAGGCCGCGGCTCAAGCCTCGGTCCAGGCCAACCCGGGTGCACCAAGAGGCCACAAGCGGCTCCGAGTCCCTCCGAGCGCCTTCTCCCGCTGCGGATCAGCTGCCCCCTTATCCTTAGCTGTGTTCCCGCACGGCGCCGTCCCTTCCCGAGGAGCCCGCGCGTTCCTCCTGCGGGCAAAGAGCTGCCCAGGACATTTGCTCGGCTGCTCGTGTGTGTCCTCCTTTGCTTCAGCTACGGGCCCGGGCACGGCCCGCGCACAGCGGGATCGGCACCGTTTATCCCGGCTGTCAGGAGGCTCCAGGTGTGACGGCTCCCGGGGGAACAGCGCTATTCCCGAGGCAAAAACCATCCCCATCCTGCCCCACGTCGGGACCTGCACTGCGGCCCCACGGGCGCTCCGTGCCCGTCCCGCGCTGCGTCAGCGAGCGGCACCGCGGCACGGCCTGGCGGGACCTGCGGGATCGCGGAGAGGACGAGCAGGTGGTCCTGGGTTTGAGAAAAAAAATAAAAACATGGAGTTCTCGGTGGAATAATTCCGTTGTGAAAGCCCTGTTTTAAAACAAAAACAACAAAAAACAGTAAAGTCCCTGCCCAGCTTTTGCATGCAAGGGCTCTTTGCACATATTCATCATCCTCCTCGGTCCAGATGGGTGAAGGTTTTCCTGCAACAGTGCAGATTTCTCCCTTGCCTTTATGCAGCTGTGATTTTATGCAGTCGAGTACAGACAAGGGCGATACCCAATGTCCTGGGAGGGGGGTTGCTCTTGTCCAAGCAACACCAACCCCAAAACCTACTTTTCCAGGGCCCTGTGCACAGCTTTTCCCTTGCAAACTCCATCCAAGAAGGTCAGACAGGGGCCTTATTCCCGTGGGAATTAATGAAACAGCACACACACATCCAGAAAAACAAAAAAAGATCTTTTATAGGCCCATAATCCTTCTTTCACAGTACAACGCAACAGGGAGGGGTTCGGTCAGTGTAAACAGAGGGTCCAACAGTGATCATCAGCTATCACAGATCAGCTGCACAAACACCACAGCTACAGAGTTAATGCCGTTACCGCACGAGTTGACAATACTAGTACAAACCATAACTTTAACCTACGATGCTTTTTCATGTGCAAAAAAAAAACATGTAAATTCAATTTACAGAGGAAGGATGGCACCTTCTGTAAAGCTTCAAGCAAGCTACAAACCACCTGCTTGGGGCTGCCTAATCCGAGTGGCAAAAGGTGCCCATGGGCTGGTTTTCCAAAGTGCTGAGTCCCCTTGGTTTCACAGGAACCATCCGCCTGGGAAAACCAGCCCCTCTTGTGCTCACTACTGCTGCAGGACAAGGAAAAGGATCAGCTGAGGATTAACTCGAGTCATTTATTAAATCACTCCTGAATTTCAGCTTGGATTTATTCATTTACCAGCAGTATTCAAAACAGTCCTGGCTATATTGTGAAACAAAACAGCATTCACAGGCACCCCATCAAAGCATCATTTGCAAATATTTCTTTTAAATATGAAGTTGAGCTGACACTGGCATCAAAAGCTGAGGTTTGCAGTAATATGTGGGCAAGCTGGAAAGACATTGGATAAATTATTAAAGTCAGAGGGCGAAAGCAAGAGCCGAAGGCATTCCTAATGGTTTAATTTTTAAAAAGGAGTTAACCAGGGCCTTGACGTGGCCCTCAGTGCAAGTGGTGACACCTGGATTTACCGTTCCCAGCTCCTGGAGAGGTTTCAGCAACGGGGACAGGGACAGTGACCCCGGAAGGGACACGGCAGCAGGAGCCTGCCTGTACCCTGGGAATATTTTGTAAATTGAATCCATAGTCAGATCATACCAGAAAAAAAAAAAAGGTTAAAAAAAAAAGAGGTCGTTATTTATCACATCTCTTCAAAATGCAAAGTTAGTGAGGAAAAAAAAAGGAAAAAGGATGGAGAAGTGATGCACTGATGCAGTAAACATAAAGTCAATAGGTACCGACGTTTTTTTTTTTCCTTTTTTTCTTTTTTTAAACACATGAAGTTAAGTTATAGACATCATATAAAACGCACACTTTATGGAAATCCTGCATAGCAGGAACGAAGAGGCTAGCGCTAACCCGACGGCTACGTTAACAGCGAGAGCGGCCGCCGCTCGGCGCGGCAGAGCCTGCGCCGGGGACGCGCGAGCCCGGCGGCAACACCCGCGGTTTGTTCACACGGAAAAAGAATGGACTTTCTTGGGGATAAACTGCCAAAATTATTAGTTTCACTCCAGAACATTTAAGGCAATGTTACTTAGACCTGAGAAAATGAAAAACAAACAAACAAAAAAATAATTTAGCTTCTCAACTACAAACGAACATGCAAAATTCCCGCGTTTCCCGTCTCCTCCACGGCAGCTGGCCCTGGGCTGCAGCTGCAGGGAAGGCGCTCGGAGAGCGGGGCCGATCCCGCGGGATGCGGCAGCGGCTCCGCAGGGGCGCGGAGCGCTCGGCCGCGCTGCGCCCTTGTGCCCAATGTCTGCTTTTTAGCAGAATTGAGAGCAGGACAAGCCCAGAGCAGGCTTGAAACACTGAACGTCCTGTAGAGCAAAACTATGGCTAAAATAGGCAATAAAACTGCATATAGCAAATTTCTGTGCTTTCCCCTTCTCCGGGGGAAAAGATGCCAGGGCTAAGGATCTCACTGCACCTTTTGCCGTTTCTGTAACTACGGAACAAATCCCATAACACTAGTGCGAAATCGCAAATTGTTCTGCGCTCTTCCTTGGGAAAACAACAACCAAACAGGTAGAAACGCCCCAAACAGAGCAGGCGTCTCCCGGTGAACGGTAAGCGCCACGAGAGCGAGCAGGATACAGACACACATGCTACGTGACGGGGTGCTACACAAAGGCCGTGATGGGACTGCGCAGCGGGACGGACGGACGGACGGACAACTCCCCTTCGGCACCACGGGGCTCCAAACCGGAGCGCAGATGGTGCCGGCACGGCGCGGATCCGCCGCGGCTCCATCGGGATGGCTCCCCTTGCGCAGGGACAGGTTGCTGCCCGCGCACGGAATTTGGGTGCCAACGGGGGGTTTCGATGGTGTTCCCGGAGAGCTGCTCGAGCAGCAGCTGAAAGGCTGGGCCACAAAACCCCGGGACCACCGTGTGGCTGGGACAGGATGGTCCCCTTCTCCCTGCGCCAGCCCCGGCTCCGGGGGAGCAGCCCGGCACCCTGCACGGCTGCCGAGGCCGGGGCAGAGGAGGCGGCTCGCCCAAAAAAAGAAACACGCTCCCTCCGTCCCTCCGCTGGGACAACGATCCCGGCTCCGGTTCCCACAAAACAGAGGTTATTGCTGGCCGCTGCCCGGCGCGACGGGCTGTCGGCAGACGTTCCACTGACGTTTTAATGTGATTACCCAAAGGTCAGAGACAAAATTCCCCATCTGAATAGAAAGCAATTTACACTGCTCACCGCCGCCTGCCGACCCCGCTCCGCCAGGTACAAGGACAAGCGGGGAGGCAGCTCCTTTACTTACCCAGCTGGAACCTAAACCCTTCATCAAATCACGCCATAAAAGAAGCTCACTGTGTGCAAAAGATTCTTACGCTAAAACAGTTCCACCCTACACAGTGCAGTCAACACAGTTTTTAACTTAAATTTGCAGCTTGTTCTTTACAAGTGCTTGGCAGAGAATATTTATATTCTTCTGACACCATATAAATAATATTTATACAGCTTAGACATTTTGAGACATGCATTAGACTGTAGGTAGTACATATTTCTTGATCATATATGCAAATATTACTGTCATTTAACCGAGCAACCTTATGCTGGACCATGCCTTGCGTTATCCAGGATGTTTGACGGCGGCTCCGAGTCATCCATGGGAAGAACCAGGCGCGTTCCCCGGATCACGAGTTCATGGTCCCCGAAAGCGAGCTCCCGGTCCAGCGCGTCCTCGGAGCTGTTTCCCACGAAGCGCCGCGACGCGCTGCTGGAGGCGACCGAGTCGGTGTTGACGGTGGAATCCCCGTACGTCAGGCTGATGTCCCCGTCGTTCAGAATGAGATCGGAGTCGTCGTCCTTCAGCTGCTCCTGATTCTGGGTGGCAAACAGAAAGAAAACTTTGGTTGGCGCTTCCTGGGCGAGAACGTTTGTAACGACCCGGCCGCAGGCGACAAGTCTGGATCACAGGCTCTCCCTCGCCGTGACCATAACCAGACGTGCTGCAAATACCTCTTCGAGCCCAGCAGACTTGTGTAACGTTAACTTCTCTGCAGGCTATTTGAAAAGGTTCCTTTGGCTCTCCTCCCTGATGCTATATTCAGACGTATGGAGAATACAGCTCTGATGGGCTTTAACCGGATACAAAAATCACATGGCTCTAGGGATTGAGTTGGGAACCCACCAGACACCCCTGTTTTGGGCAGTGGCGGGATGCCAGCGCTTTGCAAGCAGGACAGAGCACCTGCGGCCACAGAGCTCCCACCGCACGGGGCTGCCCGGCACCGCGATCCGGCACCGCGATCCCTCAGCGCCGGCTCCAGCCCCAGCACCAGGAAGGGCCCCGAGCCCAGGCAGCAAACCCGGCTCTCTGAGCGCGTTTCGCATCCAAAGGCTTCAGGGACACAAACGTGCCAAACCGCCCCGGGGCTGGGACAGAAAGCGCCGCGAGGCGGCCCCGGACTCACCTCGTAGGCCTGGGGACTCGTGAGGCACCGCGCGACGGGCCCGCAGCACGCGGGCAGCGTCGTGGTGAGCGGGGGGCCGCTGTGCGTCAGCAGCGGCTTCAGGTAGCTGCGCGGACGGCTAAGGAAGGAGCCGGAGGACCGCGAGGGCGCCGGGCGGTGGAGACCCGCGAGGACAGGGGGGATTTCACCAATTCGGGAGGGTGCCGGGCGCTGCAGAGGGGCCTGCAGCTCTGCTGCTCCTCTGCTAAACTGCAGCTCTCACAGCTGCAGCATGAGAACACGCCAAGCAAAAACGGACAGCCCGAGGGGACAGCAAACGCGGGCTCCTCCACCGCGGAGCGAGCGAGACCCGCTCGGAACCAGCGGGGATACCCAAACCCCCCGAGTCGGCTGCCGGTCAAGGATACTTGTGGTCGAAGTTGTACCATATGCGGAAGAGCCAGGCGCTCTCGGCCTTGGTGCTCCTCCGCTCGCTCTCCGGGACGCCCTGCGGGACAGCAAAGCGTTAGGCCGGGCAGGACGATGCTCCGGGGTGCTCGGAGCACCAGAGCCTCCGCGGCACCCGCGCATCCCCATCCGCCTGCCTTTCCAGAGGAAACCTCTGGGCTGCAGGGAGCAACGGGGAGGGTCACGACACGTTGGGCTAAGGCCCTTCCAGCCCCGCATTGTGCATGTAGCAGCGTGTGGCAGCAGACACCACCATCCAACGTGATGTCTGGATGCAGCCGTGGAGCCGGCAGCTGCATCCAGACATTGCATTTAATAGGGACTGACAGGTTCAAGCTCCATCGATCCCGCCTGAGACCGTGTTTGCAAATAATCCTGTGTCATGGGGATTCCTGCCTTCCTTGCGGTTAGGGGAAAACAGAAAACTGGCTGAAGGCAACTAAGAATGCAATCACATATTTCATAGAAATCTGGCTTTCGGACTTAGGGCTCTGGGCTGCCTCCAGCTTCCTCGCCAAGAAGTGAACAGCCCGGTAAACGGCTCTGAATTAAAGAAACCTCCAAGGGGCCGAGCTCACGTGGAAATCAGCGAGAGCCTCAGCCACGATGAGAGCGGGCGCAGCCCTCGTGTCGCCACGGCCAGCATTTCCCACTGCACCAAGTAACTGCATGCAGGGGACAGCAAGGCAGAGCGGAGGTTTAGGAAAAACCTCTGGGTGAAAACGGGACCAAAGGTGTCACAGTAAATGGCATTTCTGTACTGCATCACGTGCGGGGATGCGGCAGAGAGCAGGCTCGAACTGCAGTCCTCAAACTGCAACCTCAGCAGCAGGGAGGCTACAGCGATAACTTCACACCCGAATCCTCCATGTCACGTACAGTTTTTCATTTCGGTAGCACATCATATCTCCTTGCTTTCACGTTTTTATTAGGAGAGCTAAATGAGCAGATGCACTGGGGCAGTAATCTGGACTGACTGAACAGCGCGGTGTTATTTCCACAGTCTCCAGCTGAATAAAAGAAGGCCTCAGTTCCGACTACAGAGGGCACAGAAAAGAAACGGCTCCTGCTGACTGCAAACTCTCCCACGGAGGGGACTGAGGACCCTGCTACAGCTGGAAGGGCGACAAGCACAGAGGAGCATTCAGAGGCCTCTGCTGGGCTCCCCACCCCAGCGCGAGCGCAAAACCCTCTCCAAAGGGCGCCTGGGACTCACCACGTTCTCCTGGTCTGCATCCACGCCGACCCTGCGGAGGAGAAACCAGCACACGGTGAGGACCCGCTGCTGCACGGACACGTCGCGCCGGGCACGGAGCAACCCGCTGCTTTGGGGGCCAGCCGAGCCCTGCTGCTGCTCGCCCCTTGCCCGCGGGCACACGCGGGGCGCACCGAGAGCAGCGGCCGCGTGCCGGGAGCAACCCAGGAGCAAGGAGAACGCGAAGGGGGAGCAGCCCGGCCGCGGGCAGGCGGCACCGCGCCGGCCGAGCGCACTCACCGCACGTTGAGGCACGAGAGCATGGCCGTGGTGCCCCCGCCGAACACCCACACCGTGAAGAACACGATGAGCAGCGTGGTGCTGAACATCATCTGCCGCGCGTAGGTGGCCGTGTCGCGGATGGCCAGGGCGAACGCCATGGCTCCTCGCAGCCCTGCGCGGGGACGGCAGCAGCAACGAGCTCCGTTAGTCCCCGGGGCGGGTGACACCTCCACCCGCATGGGCTTCCCAACACGGACATTCCCAGCGCTGCCCAGCACGCCTGGCCCGCTGCCCCTGGCCCCACACCATGATTTTCCACCTAAACATGCCCAAAGAGGCCAACTCTCCCCCGCTGCCACTGCCCACTGCTCACTCAAGCACAAGGCCAGAAGATGCCATGATTACATCTCCAAACCAGGGCACGAACAAAGCCAAAAGGAGCCCGTCCTTGCCCAGCCTCTTTCCCCAAAAGACCTCACATTGAAAGAGGATGAGGAGGAGGAGGAAATCTCCCACCAGAGAGGTGAGGAAGGGCAGAGGGACCCTGTGTTTGGAGACAAGGACACACTAACATACCAGCAAACATCATCATATGCTGCAAATTTGTTCCAATCTTATTTCTCCTCCCCAGATTCAGTAGAAAAGAAAATGGGAAAAAATCTTCCTAGAAAGATGGCAAGCTACATTTGCACGTGTTAAGGAAACGGCTCTTCTTATGTCTCCCCTTGTACCCTCCCCTCTGCACACACAGCCAGCTCCTCCTGCACAGCACAAACATCGGGAAACACGTTGGACCTTTCCATGCAAAGGGAGCAGCTCCGAGCACGAGAGCAGCGTGGGGACAGCAGGCAATGCAGGAATGTGTGCAGAGAAACACACTGAGAAAAGCACAAAAAAGGGCGACGGAACAGGTTAGGCAGGAGGGAGGTGAGATCAACCTCCACTTTCCGCTCTGCATTCTCCCCACGGTGCTCATTTTCCACAGGATTATCTGTCCTTCGCGAAGCTCAGGTTATCTCAGCTACCAGGGCCACCCCATTTCCCAGCACGCCGCACTTCACAAACGGGTTTGAAGCTTTAAGGCAAGTTCATTTCCCGTGGATTATTCAGCAAAAGAAAAGCAGCAGCCATAGAGGGGAAAAAAAAAAAGAAAAGAAAATCTAACACTCTCTGTTTTCTTAGCCTGGGAGATACAAGAATCACCAGCCCCTTCATACTGCTTTTATCTTTGAAGCTGTGTCTTTTATTACTAGCACCCAGATGGCAAAAATAATCTTGGAGCCAGAATTCAGTGCCGCCTAGAATAATATGTAAAATGCTCCCAGCTTTTATGTTCTTTCCTGAACATCATGAATTTGCATAAGGGACGTATTTCGCGATGTCTCTCATGAATGAGCTAATTCACCAGC